GCTATGGATGCTGGTGTTTTAATGACTAGCCTTAAAGGCTGGAGGGCCCTATACATGTATAAATTGAGACCTCCTGTCAAGTTTCAATATAGAAATTTTTGCTTCCATTTTACAAGTCAGTTTGTGTCACGACCCAACCGGCCCTATGGGTTATCACCGTAACCGGCCAGTAATCCAAGATTACCGAAGGCCTGCTTAACAGTAGTATAGTAAAACAGAGTACAGGGCTGGCGGAAGCCAATACAGTAAGTAAATAGTGTCCATTGAGCTGTGACAGTCTGTATGCAAAAAGGCTTTTTATACATTTATACACAAGCAGTACAGAACAGTATTGTACATATTTGACATCCATTTAAACTAGGGACTCAACCCTACATAACAGTACAGAAAACATTCCGTCTGTACAAAAACAGTACGGTCTATACAAAATTTACAAGTCACACAGTACAGGGACCTAACCTTGATAGCAGTACGGTAAACAGTCAGTCTATACAGTACAGTTAGACAGTATGAAGACAGGCGGGGGAAAACAAACAAAACACCCCCAAGCCATAGCTGGCAACTCGGAACCTCGCAGTGAGGCACAAAGGCTGGCTTGACAAAACTGGAGTTACCCTGACGCTCCTAGCTCCGTTCTGGTGCCTGTAACCTACATATATATATGAGCAGTGAGCTAAAGCCCAGTGAATAACATAAAGCGTAAAGGGGTTTAGAATGAATGTCCTTACAGTAATGAAAACAGTTCAATTCAATCAGTATTTCAGTTGTTCAGTACAGTAAACAGTCATATGTGGTACATCCATTAGCATAACAGTAACAGTAGGTCTTAAAAGACCGAACAGTAATGATGGCCATCAGTCAGTAAACAGTAGTGGTCCACGAGGGAACCGACAGAGATCTCTGTAACAAGTAACAGTAACAGTAACCGTAGGTACTAAGGATGCCACAGTACAGTTCAGAAATAAAGGACATACATTCATTCAGTAATACCAGTTCAGTAAACAGTTCAGTTCAGTATTCAAAAGATATCAGTTGAACATATCTTTACACAATTGTTACTCACAGAGTTCTGGGCTTACAGTATGCTAGAGCGTGTCTCCCCAGTTGCCAACCCTACACAGTTCACAGGTTGGACACACACTAAGCTACACGTGTGGAAATATCATAACTTAATCCCTAATTGCCTTGGTGTGTTCTACAACGATATCTCATCTAAATGTCTTAAACTAGGCCTAAGAATGCCTAGGATGGGATGAGGATGCAAAATACACTTAGAAAACATTTCGCAAAGTTTGCTGAAAATAGGAGCCTCGCTCGAGCGAGACTTTCTACGCTCGAGCGTAAGTCCAAAATCAAAGGCTTCGCTTCGAGCGAGGAATCCTTCGCTCGAGCGGTCTGCAAAACAGTAAAAGTACTGGATGCTGAAATTTTACCGCGCGATCGTCGCTCGATGGTCGCTCGAGCGGAGCCCTGGACAAAGGTGCTCGCTCGAGCGGGGAATCCTTCGCTCGAGCGAGGAAGCCAATCTGGAATTTCCAGATCTGCCTCCCAAGCTCAAACCAAGCATTTCTACCACCCCAAACTCGACCTCTGGGCGCCAAATTCTGGAAAACATCATTAAATTCAATGTATAACAAGTTTCAAAGCTCAATTTATGAATTCAAGCCCCAAAGGTGAGTCAATTAAAACCATATTCAATCCCATTTTCAAGAACAACATTCAAACATGTCATGTATGAGTTTTAAACCAAATTAAAGCTCCAAAGCTTGATCAAATGAGCTCATTTCTTTTCAAACCAGTTGGAAACATGGTCTATAACAACAATATGAGCATGCATGCACTAATGTCCATGTACTCAACCTCAAAATGCAACAATACCAACATGCATGCAGAAAATGATCTTCAATCCATCATTTAATGAACCAAATCATGACTTAGCTCTACAAATTAACATGAATCATGCAAGAATAACTCAAGAACAGCAACAAGAAGATGGCTGTCCTACCTTAGTCTTGTTTCAAGGTCTAGGAGCTCAAAGTAGCAATCACACTTCAATTCTCAAACAATTCCAAGCAATTGAAGATGAAAACCAACTCCTCAAGTCTCTCTCTCTCTAAGGTCGGTTGAGGCAAGAAATGGCTGAGCAAATGTGTTTTGATTCAAGTATAAGGCTCAAGTGTGTGTATGAGATAGTGGCAAAATGGTAAATATGGCAAACTCTTTAATTGGCTTATTTTAATCTAATTTAATCATACCTAATCAGTTTTCAGATAAATATACCATAAAATCACATTAATTATGAGGGTCACGGAACATCAATCGGTTTCTATTCGGCCGCCGATAAGGCCTTCAATTAGCAGTTTAAACATATAAACATGAACAGATAATCAGACAATCAAACAGATAGAATGCAATTAACTAACATATACTCAGTCAATTCAGTTTCAATTTCAGTCAGTCAGTTTCAGTATTTCATTCAGTTCGATTATCGGTCAGTTATCAGTCATTATCAGTAAACAGTATGAGGGTCGTTACAGTTTGCTTGATAGTTCCTATTGTGAGAGAGTGCTGCATGTTGTGTTCGCTAAGCTAGACAGATAGTGCTCTGCCGTAGCTGGTTTTGACCGTCGTATCCTGGGAGACAGACGCCGGGTTTCCTCAAGCACTCAACCGTGAGGCGGCGAAATCTGTTTTAAGGAAACTGCTTCCGTGCAGGCTTTCGGTTTTGTCTCTTTACCCTTTATTGTTTTTTGTGTATTTCGTTGAAATTTAGTTGTAATTATCAGCATATGTTCTTGGTATATAATTTGTTTTCTTCATAAATCTATTTTATTTAATTTCACAATTTTGAACAACATATGCATCATTTTAAAGAGTGCATATTATAGATTTCTCCAAATCTGTATGGCAAATCTTGATAGTTTCTAAGATCAAAAAAGACAGAATTAGCGAATCAAAATTTACCTATAATTAGATTGTGTTAAATTGATGAAGTGTGAGTTGATGAGTAAAATAAATTTGAATCATTGACTCTTATTTTTAAATAAATTCTAAGTATATAATCTTCCAATTCTAATTGACTACTTACAATAGACACAAAGAAACTTGACGGTATTTTAAAATAAATTTATACACAAACTTTAATGTCTAAATTTTTTTTTTTTTTATCGACAAATGTTAGTTATTAGTTGTTAGATTAATACCTATAAGAAAAAATCTCTCCACCATTGACAAAGCACTAAAGTGTTTGCACTCTTTTAATTTAACCGCTCTAAAGAGAATTGAACCCATGACCTCCTTAAGACTGATCCCTAAAGAAGACATAGTAGCCAATTAGGCTAGGCTTAGTTGGTTTTTCATGTCTAATTGTTTACATTTTTTTGTTGATTTGTACTCTTCCTTTAATAGAATGGTGCTTGCACTTAGCTATAGGGGTGGTAGTCCTTTTATTCTCCTGATTATGCAAATTCCATTCGCTTAAATTACAAGATTGAGATTTTATGCATGATCTGAGAAGAACCAAATTCTATAGATTCTTCATTTAACTTGATTGAGTTGGCTTGTTTATTAGCAGTTTATTTGTATAATTTATGATATATAAAAGATTTCTTTATAAAAAAAAATGTTTTATAAAATTTAATTGAATTATTTATAAAAAAATATTTTAAAGATATATTGCAACGTACGTAATATAGATAACAATATAGATAACACTTTCATTATTACAATTGCACTTCGTATTTTGTTAAAGTATTTTCAACTAACTCTTTCAAAGAAGTCTATTAGTTATTATAATTAATTTCATCATTTTTTACTCTCTCAAACGAGTGACCTACTGCAATAGCTATTTTAACAAGATTATTGTAGGCCATTTACATTTAAAGAGTATTGAGAGATTTTTTAAATTAATTTGTGTGGATAAATTTATGAAATAAACAATAGCGTTAGAGCATATAAATGAATAGTTAGTTAAATAGATCATGAGTTTGGCTTAATGATTTTGTAGTCATATCTTTACACTATGTTTGAAACTCAGGAAATAAAAGAAAAAAAAAATTACTTAAGTTATAAGAGAAAATAAATGAAATGAAATGATTGTAATTTCTTTTATTCTTGTTTGGATAAGTAAGAAATAAATAAATTATTGTGATTTCTTTCCTTCTTGTTTAGTTAGATTTTATAAGAGAAAATAAAAAAAACTGTTTTATGTTATATTACCAAAATAATATGAAAAGTCCTTGAGGATATGGGTGTCAATTATTTTATTTCTTTTATTTTTACAGGGACAAAATTAGTATTATAAAAATATAAGAATCTGTTGGTTTCTTTTCTCTCTCAATCTCTCTACTTTTGAAAATATTGAAAATGAGCGTTATAAGTGAAATGGATTTCTTTTTGTGTCTCTCCATTTCTTCATATTTCTCTCCACTTAAGTTATCCAAATAAGGAAGAGAAATACATATCTCTCAATTTCTTTTCTTTTCTTTTCTTTTAAGGTGTGATGAGAAGAATGTAAGTTCGAGTTGATGGAGTAACGAGGACCTTTTTAATTGTAATACTTTACTAACAATCTAATATCCTACAATCTTAAAAAGAAAAGAAAAAAAAAACTAATGAAAAATAAAAAGTAATACTAGAGTTGTTCTTAGTAAAGTTTGTTAATATCCTACAATTGCCTAATAAATGTTTGTTAAAAAAAAAAAAATAGAATTTCAATACATATTTGATATATTATTTTGTTATTTTTATTTATATATTTACATATTTTAATAGTATATATCTTTTACACATTTACATTAACCACCTATCAGTTAGCATTTTTCAAAAAAATAAAATGCAAATAAATTATTCAAAAAAAAATTTAAAAACCCTACTCATAAAAATAAAAATAAAAATAAAAAACCAACAAAGCAGTGTAGGCGGTAGTCTCTGGAACATTCGAGAGGAGTCAGAATCAGCAAAATATCATCCAATCCCCATATATAAAACCCCTCATTGGTCAATCGCCAAAACCATAAAAGAAGTTGCAAAATCCACAAACTCTGAAACCTTTACTCTCCGATTCTCTCCGTCTTCTAGCTCTCCAAACACCCAAAATGTCGCTGATTCCTCACTTCTTCGGCCGCCGATCAAACAATGTTTACGATCCATTCGCCCTCCAGATGTTCGATCCCTTCGAAGGCTGGCCGTTCAACAGCAACTTCGGACCGATCTCCGATCACTTCCCCTCGGAGACGGCGTCGTTCGTCCGCTCGAACGTCGACTGGAAGGAGACTCCGACGGCGCACGTGTTCACGGCGGACGTGCCGGGGCTGAGGAAGGAGGAGGTTAAGGTGGAGGTGGAGGAAGGAAGAGTGTTGCAGATCAGCGGAGAGAGGAATCGCGAGCAGGAGGAGAAGGGCGACACGTGGCACCGCATGGAGCGGAGCAGCGGCAAGTTTCTCCGCCGCTTCAGGCTGCCGGAGAACGCCAAAGTGGATCAGGTCAAGGCGGCGATGGAGAACGGAGTGCTCACTGTGACGGTGCCGAAAGAAGGGGTGAAGAAGCGCGATATGAAGTCTATTAAGATCTCCGGTTAAACGTCATCGTCACTTCCTGTTCTGGTGTCTCGTGAGTTTAATCTAGGGTTTTGAGAAGCGTCCACGGTTGTGAACCGGTGGGTATAAAATAAATTGTGACTTTTGTTTGGGGGTTTTGGTATGCAAGTCATTTGTCTTGTTGAATTCGGTTATCTTGACTGCGTGTCTTGGTATGTAAATACTTAGTTGAAGCATATATAACTGCGTTTGTGAATAATAATATCAGTTTTGATGTCTAGAAACTCTCTGCTTTACTTGATTTACTTCTTAAGTTTCCATTATGTTTAATTGCTGATTTTGTTGGTACTCGGAACTTGTTCAGTTTTTGGGTCCAGCAAAGGCATAGAATTTGCTTTGCAATAATCATTTTCAAATTTGCTTGTGCATCCAATTTTTGAAAATCTGTCCTTGTGAATGAATTTTTTTTTTTACTGACTCTTCCATTCGTCTTAAGATGACAAATATGGTTAAATTAAAATCTTCTACAATTAGCTATGATTCTGGATGTTGAAGCCATAATCTAAGATGATTATCAATGCCTAAAGGAACCTGAAGCCCTATGCCCACAAAATAAGTGCACTTGGTATATACTCTCTTAAAAGCACAACCTGCCAAACACTATCAGGGCACTCTCTATTCCATTGTAATAATTCTTGAAACAAGTGGAAAAGGAATATATGAAGTCTGTTATGTTCCTCTATGCATTTCTGTGATGGATAAATCGCCATGAAAAATGAGTAAAATCTTTGAATCAAGATCTTTGCATCATGTTTGACCCAAATAGTGCGAGTGTCTTGCTGTAAAAAAGTTTGAGAATAGATTTAACCTCTGATCAATAATTCAACAATGTTAACAGAAATTAACAAAACAAAAATACCTTAATATTGTTGGATCAATCTTTTATGGAAAAAATAAATTAAAATCAAATCAAACAAATAAAATAAATAACTTATTAAATTTATTTTACTGAATCAAATAAATAATAAAAAGATTAAGTCAAGTGTATGACACTCTATTCTTAAGACAGATTCGCGGTGCTTGCAAACTATTGGCGTCTATCTTCTATGATAAAATGATCTTCACAAATTATAACAGTGTTTAGATCTGTCCGAACAGATATGAAAGGAATGACAGCAGTTAAATCTGTTCTGGGCAGTTTGAATCTGTCAAGGTGCAACAGATTTAAGACTTGTTTGGACTATTTTAATCTGTTGTGGAATTGATCTTAAACAGGCACAATTTTTTGGATACAAAATTTGAATTCAAATTTAATTTGAAATACAAATAAATTTTGTCAAAAAAATTAATGTTAGAATCAACTCGACCCACAACCCACACCTGCGCATGGCTCGGTTCGGTCGGGCAGCGGCGGCGAGTGTGGTGGTTTGAGCCAAGGTTTCTTTGTCCATAACTCATCCCTTCTACAAACTTGGGGTGCCCCTTGCGGCCCAACCGAAGTGTTGTCAGCTTGAACTTATATACACATATAAGTTGTTTTCAAGTTTCAATGTGGGACAAGCCTTACAAGGAAACCCACATTTAATTCTTTAAATGTCCATTCCACGAACGCGAAAACGACCTCAAGTTCTCATTCACTCATAAATGGTTTTGACGAACTGTCCTCACCGTGTAATTTGCCATGTAGCAAGGAACACGTCACCTCTTCGGACCCACCCAAAAGACGTTTGGGACCCACTCAAAATTGACCCAAAATAAGCTTATAAAAAACAAATATTCCAACAATTCCCCACATGGATGGAATTTGACGGAGAGAAAATACAACATGATCTAATTACAGAGAGTACAAAAATTGAAAATATTCTGTAAAGGATAGATAACTTTTGGTTTTGAACCTTTCCTTGTAAGACACTATCGAATTTACTAGCTAACTAGTACACATGATGTCTTAAACTGTTCAGTCATTTGTGCAAACCAAGACAATAGAACTAGAGCTGCAAATGAACTGAGCTGTTCATAAACAAGTTCGGCTCTGCTCGGCTCGGCTCATTTAGTAAACGAACCAAGCTTGAGCTCGAATATTAGGCTCGTTTAATAAACGAGTCGAGCTCGTATAAACTCGGCTCATTTATCTTTATTTAAATTATGTAATAAATATGTTATATTATTTAATATATAAATAATAATATAAATACATTTTTTATATATATTAAATAATATAAATAATATTTTTTATTTAACTAATATAAATAATATTAAAAAAAAAATTATCGAGCCGAGCCGAGCCGAGTCGAGTCGAGCCGAGTTCGAGCCCAGTTCCTTGTCGAGCCGAGCTCGAACTCAATAAACAAGCTTGACAAGTAAACGAGCCGAGCTCGAGCTCAGCAAAGCTCGACTCGACTCGGTTCCTTTGCAGCCCTAAATAAAACTCACATAGTATATCACTAGACATAGTTTAGTTCTCACTATTGTGTTCATTTTGGTCTTGAACAACCTGGTTTTTCATGAGTGCACTAGAGAATTGTAGCCCTTCACAAATCTCATAGAACCGACTCAGTTCACACTCACATAGGTGATTCTTATGAAGAGTATCCTGCTATACTCCACTAGGTTTACCTAGATATAAGAATCATTAAAACTATTACTTAACCTAAAACGCTGCAGACATCACTATTTTATTATATGTAGGAGTTAGACTCCCCAGTGCTCCTTCTGAGTCATACACAACTCGGTTGTCCCTTTGAACCTAGATATTGGGATCTCCAGTCAATTAGGTTGGGTTGCCGTTGTGGTAACTCTTATTTAATATGTAACGCCCTCAAAATAACCACATTAAACCCATCCGTATAGAGACATGCATTGATACATAAAAGTCCACATTCATCTATTCATCAGAGTATTTCATTACAAAAGTATTACATTTATACAACAAAAGCAAATGCCCTACGGGCTTACAGCTTTCCAAGTTAACACTTGGTTACAAAAGAGGGTACTAACTCAATTACACAATAAGCCCTTGGCTTGAATTTACACGTAACACATCCAAAAGGAAATAAGACAACAAAAGTTTGTCCGTTTCTAGCCTCCCAAGCTATGTCCTTGGAGGTGGCATGCTACCTGTACCTGAAAATGATGTTCCCATATAGGGTGAGCCACAGCCCAGTAGAAATATACTAAACCAACTATGAACAAAGCCTAAACGATTAGCAACTGATAGATGATCAGTACTTACACTTCCATTTTCATCTTATTACAATTCCATGACAGTCGAGTCTATGTTACAATTCACTTTCCAATTCTTATTCAACTTTGAGTTTGAAAACAAGGCTCAGTACTCTGGCCAAAACATTTGATGGGATTATAGTTCATCACTAGAACACTTCCAAAATTCAAGGTGGATACACTTTATGGTGTTGTATCAATAACACATAAACTACTTTCATACTTCGCAAACAATAATGATATACATTTTAGTGCTATATCAACTCAAACAAACTTTTCAATAGATAAGCATATGAGCTATATCACTACTACAACAGATAAGCATATGAGCTATATCGATACTTCAACAGATAAGCATATGAGCTATATCAATTCTTCAATAGATAAGCATATGAGCTATATCAACACTTCAACAAATAAGCATATGAGCTGTATTCAATACTACAACGGATAAGCATATGAGCTGTATCAACATTCCAATAGATAAGCATATGAGCTGTATCAACACTTCAATAGATAAGCACATGAGCTGTATCCAATACTACAATGGGTGAGCATATGAGCTGCATCCCTGGGTCCATCCCCCATCTTCCCTTAACCATTAACCGGTTTAGAGGTACATCCCCCATCTTCCCCTAAACCATTAACCGGTTTAGAGGTACATCCCCCATCTTCCCCTAAACCATTAACCGGTTTAGAGGTACATCCCCCATCTTCCCCTAAACCATTAACCGGTTTAGAGGTACATCCCCCATCTTCCCCTAAACCATTAACCGGTTTAGAGGTACATCCCCCATCTTCCCCTAAACCATTAACCGGTTTAGAGGTACATCCCCCATCTTCCCCTAAACCATTAACCGGTTTAGAGGTACATCCCCCATCTTCCCCTAAACCATTAACCGGTTTAGAGGTACATCCCCCATCTTCCCCTAAACCATTAACCGGTTTAGAGGTACATCCCCCATCTTCCCCTAAACCATTAACCGGTTTAGAGGTACATCCCCCATCTTCCCCTAAACCATTAACCGGTTTAGAGGTACATCCCCCATCTTCCCCTAAACCATTAACCGGTTTAGAGGTACATCCCCCATCTTCCCCTAAACCATTAACCGGTTTAGAGGTACATCCCCCATCTTCCCCTAAACCATTAACCGGTTTAGAGGTACATCCCCCATCTTCCCCTAAACCATTAACCGGTTTAGAGGTACATCCCCCATCTTCCCCTAAACCATTAACCGGTTTAGAGGTACATCCCCCATCTTCCCCTAAACCATTAACCGGTTTAGAGGTACATCCCCCATCTTCCCCTAAACCATTAACCGGTTTAGAGGTACATCCCCCATCTTCCCCTAAACCATTAACCGGTTTAGAGGTACATCCCCCATCTTCCCCTAAACCATTAACCGGTTTAGAGGTACATCCCCCATCTTCCCCTAAACCATTAACCGGTTTAGAGGTACATCCCCCATCTTCCCCTAAACCATTAACCGGTTTAGAGGTACATCCCCCATCTTCCCCTAAACCATTAACCGGTTTAGAGGTACATCCCCCATCTTCCCCTAAACCATTAACCGGTTTAGAGGTACATCCCCCATCTTCCCCTAAACCATTAACCGGTTTAGAGGTACATCCCCCATCTTCCCCTAAACCATTAACCGGTTTAGAGGTACATCCCCCATCTTCCCCTAAACCATTAACCGGTTTAGAGGTACATCCCCCATCTTCCCCTAAACCATTAACCGGTTTAGAGGTACATCCCCCATCTTCCCCTAAACCATTAACCGGTTTAGAGGTACATCCCCCATCTTCCCCTAAACCATTAACCGGTTTAGAGGTACATCCCCCATCTTCCCCTAAACCATTAACCGGTTTAGAGGTACATCCCCCATCTTCCCCTAAACCATTAACCGGTTTAGAGGTACATCCCCCATCTTCCCCTAAACCATTAACCGGTTTAGAGGTACATCCCCCATCTTCCCCTAAACCATTAACCGGTTTAGAGGTACATCCCCCATCTTCCCCTAAACCATTAACCGGTTTAGAGGTACATCCCCCATCTTCCCCTAAAC